ATATATATATATATATATATACAGTATATACATATGTGTGTGTTTTTATAAATGCACAATCAATCAGACGTCCATGTGAACGCTTAATGATGTCGATGCGACAGAAGAGCTCGCTGTTTACAGTAAACATGGATGCTACATGTTAGCATGTTGATTCTGAAATTGTTGTGCAGTCAGAGTTGATAGATAATTATCTGACATGTTTGTTTAGCTCACTGTTTACATTTTAACCTGCGTCTGACTTGCTGCTTTGGTGCAGCTTGTATTTATGGAATAAAGCAATGTGCTGAAAGTCAACTAAAGTATTAATCCAGTAACTTTAATATTAATACAGTCCAATGCTAATTTTACCATCAGATGTTTCTGTGAATTCTCAGTCATCCATGGATAATTAAAATAAAAAAGATGAAGCAACTGGTCTTTTGTTCTGTAAATGCAGATGTATGGAGCTCCAAGACGTAAACAGCAGGACTTGAGGTTAGTATCATTATTATTTTGATCGATTCATATCCTCCCACCCCACAGATGTAAAAGTCAAATGAAACATAACATGAACGTTCAGACTGAGGTCACATTGAAAAACATCAGATATTGATCTGATTTAGTACCAGGTTCTACTGTAAATAAAACACACGTTAAAATAAAACTGTTTTTAAAATCATTGTGTAATGGTTATGTTCTAACTCAGTAAGTACTTAGTACCTAAACTAAAGCACTCATATTCGGTTTGAGAAAAACTGGTATCGGGACACCCCTACAATTTGTTGTTTGTATTTAAAAACCATCAAAACAAATCCCTTTAAATAAATAAAATTCTGTACAACTCAGTTCTTTTTCCCCCCTTTTCCAAATAAGTTTGTAATTATTCACTTAATTCTTTTATTATGATAAAGAGATAAAAGTTGAAATGTCTTTGGGAGAGCTGGGGTGCTCAGCTTGGCTAGGAGGGCTTTGAGGAACATAGGTTGGGCAGGACTGCACTGGAGCCAGTGTTTGAAACAGAGTGAAGCTAAAAGCCACCAGGTGGACCCAGATACCACTCAGGCATACGCACCCTTTGTGCAGAAAGGTCAGCATGCTGTCCAGGAGGCACAGCTTTCCACTGGCTTCAACCAGATGCTCTCCTATCTCAAAGGGCTCTGGTTCCACCCCTAGAGAGGAAACAAGGACAACAATCACATCTATAACAACCCAGTCACTTCAACGTTTGGTTTTCACTGAACACGCCTCACCATCGAACAGGTAGGGATGGTCAACACACTTCCTCAGGTTCATCAGGATGTTCAGCAGCCTGTTCTTACTGCTGTGTTCGTTCCCAAAAGCCTCTGAAAGGTTTGTGAGGACACATTGAGGTGCTGTGCACTGTCTYAGGTGTACCCAACATAACACAAGTCTCACCAAGATCCTTCGTCAAAAAGGCCTTGTAGTATTTCTTCTGCAGGGCCGACATGCCGTGGTACACCACCAGCTCCGTCTTCTTGGGCAGATCAGCAGCCACCTCTGATTTGACTCTACGGAGCAGGAAAGGCTCCAAGATGCTCTGAAGCTCAGCAGCTGGACAAAACAAACAGAATGACCAACGGAGGAGTTTAAAATGCTCCCCTGAAYGCTGAGACGTGCTTCTATATGTATATAAACAGATTACATCTCGTACCCAGAGCAGGCTGATTTTGCACGTTAGCATAAGAGTGGACAAAGCTGTCTGTGTCCTTGGCTGCAAAGATGCTGGGCTGGATGAAGCTGAGCAGGGAGTACAGCTCCTGCAGGTTGTTCTGAATGGGAGTTCCTGTTAACAGGACTCTGAAACCAACAGAGAACTACAGAAAGAAATCATAAACTGAACTTCAACAACAAGAAAGAAGAGTTAAAGTGGGACAGCAGGAACAGTTAAAAGGTCATTATAATACCTCTGTTAATGTTTGGTGCAGCAARGAATTTTGGTTCTTCAGTCTGTGAGCTTCATCTACAACAAGAACCTCCCAGCTCCACCTGAGGAGCAGAGAGTTAAAACAAGTAAGAACTGGTATGCCTCCGCCTGTTCTAGACCCATCTGCATTTAAAGCACTGGGCATGCTTTACCTGTTTACCTCTATTTTTGGACTTAAATATTGTAATAAGTATGTAACTATATCAACAATGTCTAAACATGACTTCCTCTTTGATATTTACCATTCAAATTCAAATTCAAAAAAATTCAAATATACTTTATTGATCCCAGGGGGAAATTAGGTTCATATCATTCATTTCAGTGACCAACCAACCAACTTCTGTGTACCATCCAAAATGAGGGGATTCAAGCAACAAAGATCACTTTACCTGATCTTCAGCTTTGACCTTTGACCCCAAAATGTTTTCAGATCTCCGTAAGGCCAAGAACAATTATGTTAATTTAGACTGAAATCAAGTAGGGTTAATGTAGCCTGAAACATTCATCAAATTTGGGTTGTATCATACAAAGCAATAATTTGTTTCCTCGACAGTAAAAATAAAATATCTGGTTGTTTTTAACCATTTTATTTTTAATTAGAAAAAAAGTTTTATATTACCAGTCAGCATAAATGACCTTTGAACTTTTGATGCCCAAATCTAATCAGACAGTACTACCCTAATAGAGTTACTATGCCTATCCATATAAGTAAATATAAAATTTCATTCAGGAAATATCGTGCAGACAAGACCATGGATGGATACCGCACGAACAAATAGACAAGAGAACCAGGGTTCATGCATTTTTCAGTAAGTTAAATTTAAAACCTTTTAAAGACCTTTTAAGACCATTAGGATTGATATTTAAGACCAAACCGACGCATTAACAAAAACATTCAAATGATCCCAAAAATTTAAACATAGAAACCTTTTATAGCTATCAACTTACTTATGAAAGAATATTTAATTTTAAAACAAGAACACCAAAATTATTTTAATGAATATATGAGATAACAACTGCTGTGGACCGCTTCCAACAGAGTGCAAAAATCACTGATTTTTGCCTGCAGTYATCACGGGATTTGTAGTTTTACACGTACAAAGACTGGTAGCAAACTAAACACTTCATGAAGACAGATTGCATCAGCCTCTGATTATTTTTGCTTTACTCTATGTATGCTGTAGTGTCTAACAGCGGGGGGTTGTCTCAGGAATGCACAGATGTGGGGCCCATGAGTCGTCCAGCTTCAGAGTTCGACACACATCACCATATTAGGACAGAAGAACGCTCGAGGTATACCGTGACAAGATTTATGTACATCTGTGGAAATGTATAAAGAGCCCTGTACATCCCAGGTTTTGGCCTTCGTTTCTCCATCTTTCTTACTTGGCAAATCATTTGGCTGAAGGCCACAATTTGGTTTTTTAGGCTGTTTCTCCTTGAACTGCCAAATAAAGGTGCTTGCTGTTCAAACCAGCCTTGTTCCAGAGTCATCTTTCTTYGAGCAAAACAGCACCACTTCAACTTGAAGTCGTGGTTTTCTACACCTCAATGCAGCCAACGCTTCTCGGGAATGAATGAAAGTAAAAAAAATGAAGACTTGACATAATAAAATTTAAGACTTTGGATGAGAATCTGTTGTTGTTTTTTTTTCCAAGACCTTTTTTAGACTTTTTAAGACCCTGCACGAACCCCGGAGAACAGTATGCTCTGACCCCAGTGGGTGGAGCCATAATAATTAAACAACCTGACTGACTCCTACCGAACTAAAGTCCACAAGTTAAATTGTCTAAATCCCTGCACGAGTAAAGCTTGAATAAATCTTCTGTCTGATGAGTCTTTTGGGTTCAGATAAAAATATTCACTGCCCTAAATTATTTAAGGATTGTTTTATCACATTGTTAAATCAATTCTACACTTAGAAATCAGCTTTTATCCTTCAAATTTTTAATAATTTCTTCTTATGTCTGTTTTTATTGTTGTTGATTCAATTTTTTAATTTAGATTATGTTTGTAATAAACTTTTAAAGACAATTTTGGTCTCCTCTTTATTTGGGATAAATATTACATTAAGAGTTCCCTGTGGTTAAACAGATTCAGCGTCAGTACCGAGATCTGATTATCCTAAAGGTGAATAAATGAATCTATAGACTGAACTCTAAGGTTTACTCAATCTTTATTTGTCAACAAATGGAGCTTTAATGAAAATTACCGGTATAAGTAATGAGCATCACCCTGACCCATCACACCTACAACTGATTACATGAAAAAATGCAAGATAAAATAACTTTTACTAGTTTAAAAACCTAAAACATGAATACTACTATCCAAACTAATGAAACATTTAATAAAAAAAACAGCTTTTCCTCTGTTTTGTTGCCTTAAAACCTTGATTTTATCAAGCCCCTATCTAAAGAAATCAACACTGTGTTGAGTTACTGTTGTACCAGCATCAAGTTTCCTCAGCTTTGTCTTTATGAGCATCAAAACTCGGACCGTTTGTCTCATCCTCTTGACCAAACTGCTCCAGCTCCTTCAATCTGGTGCTGCTCAAGTCCAACAATCTTAAAATCTAACAAAAGATTCAGTCTCCAATTTATGAAACACTTAAGAGATTTTTCTTTATATTTTGCTCCGTCCATCTTTTTGCTGTTCTGACCAGTTTCCCAGTTCCTGTTGATCCATCCATCATTTATATCTATACTTTTTCCTTTCAGGGTCACTGGCACCAGCAGTCACAGTGCGAGGGACGGGGTACACCCTGGACAGGTCGCAAGTCCATCAAAGGGCCACACAGACAAACGAGACAAACTTACAGACTTACTCACATCTAGGGACAAATTAGAGTTATAAATTAACTTACAGTCWTGTTTTTGGTCTGTGGGAGGAACCCGGAGTACCTGGAGAAAAGAAAACCCACACATGCACGGAGAGAACATGCAAACTCTACCCAGAAAGGTCCCCGGGCCGGGATTCGATCCAGCAACCTTCTTGCTGAGAGGCCTCAGCTCTACCAGCTGAGCCACCACGCCACCAGTTCCTGTTGATGAAGAATAAAATCCCCACAGCATGATGCTGCCACCACCATGCTTCTCCGTGGGGATGAAGCCCTCAGCACAAAGAGAGGTGGTGTGTTTGCAGCAGGTGTTGTTCTCAATGGTCAGAAAGTTCAGCTGCGGTCTCATCTAACCACAGCAGCTCCTTCTTCAGTGTCCAGAGTCTCTCTCAATTCTCATTAAAACCCAGTTGTGTGTAGCTTGTGGACAGATATCTCTGCAGAGGAGCTGCAGCTCCTCGAGGACTGATTCTTGGCCAGTTTGCAGAGGTGACATAAACTTTCTGTTTTCTAATATTAAACGTAATGGAGAGCTGATGATGTTCTGGTCTGCAATATAGATTTTTATTTTTATAACCCATTCATGATTTATACTTCACAACTTTGTGTGTGACCTGTGTGGAGAGATTCTTAGTATCTCACTTATTACGAGGTGTTGATTATGGGGGCTGTTAGAACAGATATATACATGTGCTGGTCATAAAATTAGAATATCATGAAAAAGTTGATTTATTTCAATAATTTCATTCAAAAAGTGAAACTTGTATATTATATTCATTCACTACACACAGACTGATATATTTCAAATATTTATTTCTCTTCATATTGATGATTATAACTGATAACTAATGAAAAAAAMCAAAATCATTTTCTCAGAAAATTAGAATATTGTGAAAAGGTTCTACATTGAAGACGCCTGGTGCCACACTCTAATTAATTAACTCTAATTAACTCTAGCTAATTAACTCAAAACATCTGCAGAGGTCTTTCAATGGTCTCAGTCTATCTGTAGCTACACAATCATGGAGAAGACTGCTGACTTGACAGCTATCCAAATGACGACCATAGACACCTTGCGGCAGGAGGACAAGACACAAAAGGTGCTTACTAAAGAGGGTGGCTGTTCACAGAGCTCTGTGTCCAAGMACATTAATAGAGAGGCAAAGGGACAGAAAAGATGTGGTAGAAAAAAAAGTGTACAAGCAGTAGGGATAACCTTACCCTGGAGTGGATTATGAAACAAACCCCATTAAAAAATATGGGGGAGATTGTGTCTCACCTGGGCTAAAGACAAAAAGGACTGGACTGCTGCATAGTTATGTTCTCTGATGAAAGTAAATTTTGCATTTCCTTTGGAAATCAAGGTCCCTGAGTCTGGAGGAAGAGAGGAGAGGCACAGAATTCTAGTGATGGTGAGATGAAGCTTCACGATGCACTGAAGCTTTCCATCCAGCTGGTTCATACATGAGCATCTTCATGCTTTGTTTGCTCTACTGCACCATCAAGTGGTGGTCAGTCTGGTTTAACCAGATTACAATGGTGACTGGTTTGTAAAACATTTTTATTTATTTATTTTGATCTCCATTAGCTGTAACAAGTACAGCTACTCTTCCTGGAGTCAATCAAACTCAGTGCTCACTATAACAAGTTTCTTCACCAACATTCACAGTACCACCAAAAGTGACATAATTTTAACAAAACAAAATCAAAAATGAATGCCACACACACACACACACACACACACACACACACACACA